GGCTGTTTCTTCTCTATATTTTGGGCTTGGTGCAATAAGTTACTGATAACCTGGTTTGGGTCAGAACATTTGGGCTGTACAACAACACCGCTAGCAGGGCCCATACCACAAGTCTGTTCATGGGCCTTGTTGAGAACCACTTCCAGATTCAACCCAGGTGTGTAACGAATAGACCCACTTAAACTTCTCATGAAGCCTGAAGTACTCACCTCTCTATCAACTTTACCATTACCACTCTGTTCATCATGCTTCTCTGCATGCGCCGCCCTCATCATCACGCCTACTCTTGCACCCCCAGAACTTGATCTTCCCAAGTTGCTGTCAGTTTCCTCGACCATTGAAACATTTAAATCTTTGTCTCTGTCTTCCAGGTCAGCTTTGTCTTCATGTTCACTTCTCCTTTCTGTAATTGCCATGTTACTCATTTTGTCCAACTCATCTTCTTGCTGGATATCCACGTCATCGTCATCGTCATCATCCTCACCCCGTTTGTTCCTCTGTTCTGATCTCTGCCCATCTTCTTGCTCATACGAACTGTAACCATCGCCTTCATCATACTTCTTATGACATTTGCATATCTTAGTTAACACCACCTTGGTAACAATTTGTTCCTCGCAAACTTTCACTGGATATAGAATTCCTTGACAGTCTAAATGCACAGTTTTATTGATAGATTCCATATAGGTGGTGACGATTCTTACCCTTCCACATTGTAAGTTCTTCATACTAAGAGTATCATGATCAAACTCAATAACTTCGCCCCATATTGTTCCTATACTGCTGAAAGTTTTGCTGTTCCAGAGATTTGACGGCACTCCATAGCAGCTCAGCCATACACATCGTTCCTGTGCAATGACCATTCCTTTTTTCCATTCATTGACCGATTCGCACCACTCCTTAATCCAACCATTCATTATGATGAGTTTTTCTTTCATCTCTTGGGCTGATTGAAATGAGATTACTAAATCCCTTCCACCTGCAGCTATGACTTTGATATTTCCCACCTCCCTCTTGGTTAATTCCTTCCTGAAATCCTCCTCCGAGCATTGCGGTCTCAGCCGAGCGATTAAACTCTCATACAACCAACCATTACCTTCTTCATAAGCTTTTACGGTTAAGCTTGTAGATTCTCTCCTTCTCCCTTCACCTACCACCTGGGCATATGATTTCTTTGTATTTTCCAGAGAAGCATTTGCATAACTTGACATTTCTGCCTTTCTTTCCTGTTTGCCATATGGTAGCCTTGGTTTAGCTCTCTGTTCCTTCTCAAAGTCTGCTGGTTTTACCTTCAATACTTTGTTATCACACCACAGGCCGTTTGCTTTCCGAACCGCCATTTGTGCCGCCACTGGGCAGTCGTATCTGACAAATCCAAATCTTGATCGTGCCTGTTTCCTCCTCTTGAACGATATATAAACATCCTTCACCACCCCAAAGTTATTAAATATTGCGTACAACCCTTTTGGATCCATGGAGTTTGGTATGTCATCCACAAACAGTGTATACATTCCTACTCTGTGCTCTGAGAAACCTTTACCAGTTCTTCCATGTCTGCGCAGTACTGGCATCCAACCCCCTGCTCCCACTCCATACTTCTGTTGCCATTCCATTGTCTTAGTTTTTTCTCACTTTGACATGTTATGCACTGTGACTTTGTGATCATAATTTATTTTTAAAATCTTTCTTTTTGCTCATCAATTTGCTATTTTTATAGGGTAAGACCAAAGAAATAACAGGAGACCAAAGAAAGATTTAAAGTTAATTGCCAACTGTAAAGGAAAAAAAATTCTCAATTGGGGCAAGTTATCAATTGCAATTTGCATAATACATAAAATTGTATCATTCCCAACCACTACTAATCAACTAATACAGTATCAATTTTTAATATTTTGTGCATAAATTTTAAAAGTTTGTTATGATTAAAGATTTTATAAAGAAATTCTAGGAGGATCTGAAACAAAAGCATAATGCATAGCCATACACAGAACTACCCTTTATAGGCCTTGTTATTTTTATTTTTTTGGTTCAAATTGCTTTTTAAAAACATCAAAATCATTTACTGATATGTTTATACAATTTATACAGACAGACAGGACAGCAGAGAAACGTCAAAATTACTGTTTTGCAAGGGCACAAATAATAATAATAATAATAATAATAATAATAATAATAATTGCTTATCAGCAAGGGCAAAAAAAAAAAAAAAAAAAAAAGGCCCTGGCGTACCCAAAACGTACCAACGGCGTGCCCACGTCATACCCATGGCGTACCCACGCCGTACCCGAATGAACCAAACGTACCGGACCCTCTTTTGCCGTACCCGGTACGCGTACAGCTGTACCGGTACGCGTACTTGCACCTGGTACTCGTACGGCACTATTTTTGAAGTACTTGTGCTTCATAGGCTCCTAGAGGTAGGCCCAAATACATCATTGGCAACTTCTGAGTCTTACAACTCAGTTCTGCAGCAATGTCCGTGACCTCACTATATGAAATTCCCACCGCACACACAACGCTCCTATGAAAATTTATCTTGAGGGCAGACATCACCTCGAAGCATCTTAATAACCTTTTAACAGAGAGCAGCTCCATTTTTTCAGCTTCACAGAAAATGGTTGTATCATTTGCAAACTGCAGATGTGAAATACTCATGTTATTATATCCCATTGTAGCTCCTTTAATCAACCCCAACTGCTTTGCTCTACTCAATAGCAAATTAAGACCCTCAACTACTAGATTAAAGAGAAATAGTGAAAGTGGATCACCTTGCCTTAAATCTCCTGTTGGTGAGAACTCATTAGTGGGTGAACCATTCACCAAAACTAATATACTTGAACAAGTTAAACACTCTTTTATCCAACTCAGCCACTTCCCCCCAAACCCAAAATTATAGAACATTGAAAACAAAAAGTCCCAATTCACAGAGTCGTATGCCTTCTAAAAATCAAGTGTCAATATCATCTCTCTATGATTTGAAGATTTCCACCATTCAATAACTTCATTTGCAATCATGACCCCATCCAAAATACATCTCCCTCCTATAAAAGTTGTTTGTACCTCACTAATCACTCCAGGAATTACCTTCTTTAATCTCCTAGATAGGACCTTGGCCAGAATTTTGTAAATTGAACTCACCAAGCTAATCAATCTGCAATCCTTCAAATCCACTGGATTATCCTTCTTAGTAACTAATGTGATGGATGAACTATTCAACCCTTTAACCCATTTTCCTTTCAAATGGAACTCCTACATGAACTATATAATCTCATTCTTCATCACTTTCCAGTTCCACTGAATACTTGCTAGATTAAACCCATCTGGCCCTAAAGTTTTATTCACATCACATTCTTTCATAGCAACCCATATCTCTTCCTCTAAAAATTCAACTACTAACTCTTTTACTGTTCCTTCATTTCCATTAGTAACAAAAGGCCCTTCCAATATTGGTCTTCCTCTCCACACCTCAAAATACAGTTTCTTGAAGTGTCTAAACACTATTTTTTTTACTCTACTTGGATCTCCAATACTTACCCCATTCTCAATAAATGAATCTAACACATTCTTGCTCTGTTTCCTACTTGCCATCACATGAAAAAATCTTGTTTTTCTATCTCCATCTTGAGCCCATTTTAGCCTAGACTTCTGGTACTACATCCATTCTAATCTTCTGCTATATGTCCAAATTAAGCTTCTCAACTCTCTTCTTCTAGTAATCACAGTATCCAGAAATGGCCCGACTTTAGCTAATAGCTAAATTCCATGCAACTCCTCCTCTGCTTCTTTTAATTGACGCTGAACATTTCCAAAGACTTCCACATTCCATTTTTTTAGATCCATCTTAAGCTTTGACAATTTTCCTTTTGATCTATATCTTGCCCACCCTAGAGCATCAGCCTCCTCCCAAGACTTTTTGACTATCTGTTTCAGATTTGGATGAAAAAACCATGCATTTAGGAACCTGAATGGTCTAGGTCACCAGTTTCTTTCATCTTCCACAAGCAACAACGGGCAATCGTCAGACACACTCCTTGGAAGTCCCCATTGCTTAAGCCTAAACATCTCCAGCCATTCAGGATCCAACACAAACAAATCAATCCTACTCCATTCATCACCTTCAACTGAGTTACACCAAGTGAATCCCCTTCCTAGCAAAGGCAAATCAGACATCTCCATCTTATCTAAGATCTCATTAAACTCAATCATTCCTTTATCTCTTCACAAACAACCCTTTCTTTTACTCAAAAATCCAACTCCATTAAAATCTCCACCAATAGACCAAGGTTTACAAAAATATGGCTTCAACCAAAGTAATAATTCTCACAGCTAGTCTTTTTTCCTCCAATCATTAGGCGCATGGATGTTAACAATTACATAATCAAATGACTGATTATACATACCTGATAGTAATATGAAATCCCTCGAACTACAACACTTTCATACAGTATTTTTTTCGGCAAAAAAGAGTTGAATTGGGTGGCAAGGCTCAGTGTTTCGCAAAGATGGAGAAGCTAACTCCCATAATTGCTAATCTAACAATTAAGAGCATCTCTAATGCATTGCTAAAACAGCTGCCAAAGCCATAATACGGCAGCTTGGGAAAAAATGGCTTCTCTAATGGCATGCTATAGCAGCTGCCAAATCTACTGCCAAATTTGGCACCAGCTTTGGTAGCTGCCAAATTTGCTAGGTCACCCAAAAACCAATTGCTTTCTTCTTTCCCTCCTTCCTTTCAATTGGGAATTTTCTAGAAAAACTTCCCAAAAATGTTTGAAGTTTTTTCTTTTAATTTTATTTTTAAAACGAAATTCACCATTTTTTAAGAAAAAAGAAAAAACAAAATTCACCGATTTGTTACTTCAAGGTATGTCTAAGATTCACCAAATTCACCAATTTGTGCTTTCTCAGACACAAACTTCAACAGATCTCACAAATTTCAACAAATTTCACCAATACAAAATGGTTGTAGAAATAAAATATTAAGAATAAATAAAGAAGAAAACCTGGAAGGATCGTCGAACACCAAGAAGTGAGAGATGCCCAGATTGTGACAGAGATGGACTGATCAATAGCGGGTTTTGTTGGATTGATCTTGATTTTTGTTGAACTGATCTTCGTTAGAATGATAGATCTAATGAAGGAATAGAGGGGCATGAATGATTTAGGGTTTGTTTGTTCCTCATCATCCTCGTCTTCATCTTTGATTTCATGGGTTTGCATTTCTCAAACAATTTAAGATTTGAAGGGTGAAAGAGAGAGAGGGGGTCCATCATCATAGAGGTGATGAGGATCGATGATCCGTGATGAGTGAGAGAAAGCTGAAGAGAAAGAGAAACAACGAGGTGAGAGTTAGTGATCGGTAATCGGTGATGAAGTGATTGTTGGTCGGTGATGAGTGTGAGAAAGTTGAAGAGAAAGAGAAACAGAGAGGTAAGAATGAAAGAGAAGGAGAGAGTGACCTGGGAAGAGAAGGGAAGATGATTCTAGAAGTCGATCTCAGTCGTTGGATTGTATAAAGATCCAAGGATGAGGGTGAATTACATTTTATTTATTTATTTTTTGTAGGGTTTGTTTTTTTGGTAGAGTGAATTATATTTAATTGTTTAATTTTTTTTTAATTTTTTATATTTATCTAGTTGGGTATAATGTAAATATATAATTTTTTTTTACAAACAATTAAAAAAATGTCATAAAAGACAAAAAAATTAAAAAAAAAATCACTAAAAAACCTATTTCTGAACACCACCGACAAACTTGGAGGGAAAATTAGTTGATATTTGCCAAAATAACATGTGTATAATTAGAGCACTATTGTTATAATTTGACAAATTATTACTATTTATTGTCAAATTATAACAATAACAATGGTATTATAACAAATAACATTGAAAATGCTCTAACATGCCAAACGAGGGCCAAGGCTTTTTGAAACTCAAAACCTAATTCCTTAATGACTTGTTAAGATGTAATTTTTCAGTGATTTTTTGGTTGTCTATTTTTTTTTTTTTTTGATGAATTTAAAAAAAAAAATTAAAAACCTTTTGACTTTTAAAATATACTTTATTAGACCAACCAAAAATGTAAAAATAAAAAAATTCACTAAAATCAATAATAAGGCCTTGTTTAGAAACAAGTTATTTTAGTAACTTTTTTAATTTTTGATTAAAATATGAGATAAAAAAATTAGTATATTTGGAATAATTTTTTGATTTTTTATAAAAAAATGAAAAAAGTAGAGAGAAAATGAAATCGCTTCGACCAGCTCTGGGAGGGGACGCAGGAACACTTGACTATGCCCTGGATTTATTTGCTTTAATCAGAACTTTCAAGTTTTCTTTATGAATGTAATGAAAAGCAACTTCAATTTTGTATTCAAGAGCAAGAAAACTCTGTATTGAAATCAATGAAATTGAAGGTTATGGGTACTAAAAATTTCTTGTTTTGTCCAAAAATGGTCTAAGTTGTAAAAAGATTAATTTGAACAAAATCAACTCTTATTAAAAAATTTCAAAACCATTTTCGGTATGGATTAGAACTGGGCACGCCTGAGATTTGTCACTGAGACATACAACTCCGGATTCCAGCAACTGGAAAGTTGCCCCTAGTCTGAGTAGCACTGCACCGGAGATCATAACCGAGCTCTTGAATGCTGAATAGACAAAGATGACCAAGGCGATCACATGGACAAAGTTGATTGGAGAAGTGTTTATGGCTGGACTTCAGGATGAAGTTGCCTACATATCCCAAAGATGGGAATCAAGCCTTACGTAGTTCGGGTCAGGTTCACTCGTGTATTAACCCTCACATTTTACGCTCTAACTTTTGCCAAGGCCGCCCTTTACGGGTTTTCAACCTTGCGAGCTCAGTTTTTATAATTTCAAATTTTCTATGCTCTAACTTTTGCCTAGGTCGCCCTTTCGGGTTTTCGGCCTAGCGAGCCACTCAGGAAAAATATTTCTTTAACTTGTCTATGTTGATCGGTTGGGAGAACTCTAGGCCATCTAGGTCCATCAGAACAACAGCTCCACCCGACCAGATAGACCTGATGATGTAAGGACCAGTCCAATTGGGTCTGAACTTGCCCCTAGGGTTGTGGATGGGAGCTCGGTTGTCTTTGAGCACCAAATCTCATTCTTTCAAATTCCTGGACTTAACTTTCTTGTTGAAAGCCCTGGCAATTCGTCGTTGATAACCCTGAACATGGTACAGTGCTTTCAGCCTTCGCTCATTAAACAGCATGAGTTCTTTGAACCCGCTCTACTGCCAATCTGCCTCAGCTATCTAACACTCAGCTAGTACTCGCAAAGACGAAACTTCAACTTTGATGGGTAGAACGACCTCCATCCCATAAACCAATGAATACGGAGTCGCCCTAGTAGAAGTCCTAATCGACGTCTGGTAGCCCCACAGAGCAAACGACAACTTATTTAGCCAGTCCCGGTAGGTTTTCACCATTTTCTACAAAATGTGTTTGATGTTCTTGTTGGCAGCCTCAACTGCTTCGTTGGTCTGCGACCGATATGTGGATGACTTATGAAAAGCCACGTTGTATTTGTCCAACAAGTCGATTACTTCTTTCTTGAAGTGGGAACCATTATCTGAAATGATCTCGTTCGGGACCCCGTAGCGACAGATGATGTTGTTCCTGATGAACTTTACAACATGCGAAGCCTTCAACACCGCGTAAGACTGCGCCTCAACCCACTTCGTGAAGTAGTCTATCGCGACCAGAATAAACTCATGCCCATTGGATCCCTTCGGAGTGACAGCTTCAATCACATCAATCCCCCAGACTGAGAATGGCCATGGCAAAGTCATGTTGTATAGCTTCGGCGGTGGAATATTCATGCGGTTTGCATGGATTTGGCATTTATGGCATCGCCGGACAAAACCAATACAATACTCCTCCATGGTAAACCAGTAGTAACACTGTTTAAGGATTTTTTGGGCTAGCATTACCTCGTTCATGTGTGCTCTGCACTCTTCTCCATGGATGGCCTCTTTCAAGCGCTTCGATTCTTCAGCATCAACACACAACTTGTGCATCCCAAGATGACCTTTCTTGTACAGTTTACCCCCGCAGATGAAGAACTGAGTAGCCATTCTTTGAATTGCCCTCTTATCTTTGGCATTTTCCCCTGGTGGATATGCCTCTTTTTCTAAGAAGTTCCAGACGTCGTAATACCAAGAATTCTCATCTTGTACCTCTTCTATGGCAGCAAGTAGTTTGTAGGCCGATGCAAACTTCTGGTCAATGATGATCAGATGCATCCGGACTCCAAAAGCGATGTCTATCATAGAGGATAGAGTTGCTAGTGAATCTGCGAAGCTATTGTTCTCTCTTAACAGATGAGCGATGTTCAGCTTCTCGAATTGAGGAATTAGCAAGTCCAAGGTCTGGTGGTAGATTCTCATCTTTTCTTCTTTGACTTTTCAATCTCCTTTAGCTTGAGATACAACAAGGTTCGAGTCCCTAATGACGTCCAACCGTTTTGCCCCTAGTTCTAAGGCAGCTTCTAAACCAGCAATACATGCCTCATATTCTGCTTCATTGTTCAAGACTTTGAACCGGAGTTTGAATGCTAGAGGGATACGGGAATTGTCGGGTGCTATCAGTAACACCCCTATCCTATACCTGTATTGGTTTGACGCTCTGTCAAAGTACATCGTCCAAGTTTCGTCTTCGACATGCAAAATGGCCTCGTCTGGGAATAGGTACTCAACTGCTTCATCCCCTTCCACTGGGTGATTGGCCAGGAACTCCGCTATCGCTCTTCCCTTTACTGACTTGCGCGTCACATACTTCAGATTGAATTCGAAAAGCAGAAGCAACCAATGGGCTAGCCTACCCGTAAGTGCCGGTTTCTCGAAGAGATATTTGATAGGATCTAATCTCTAAACCAACATTACGGAGTGAGCTAACAGGTAGTGCCGCAGCTTCTTGGTAGCCCATACCAAGGCCAGACAAGCCTTCTCCAGTGGAGTGTAGCGGGTCTCATAATCCAGCATCTTCTTGCTCACGTATTAGATAACTCTCTCCACTTTGTCCTCAGACTCTTGTGCGAGCATGCAACCCATTGTAGTTTCAGTCACTGAAAGATACAAAATCAACGATTTCCCCGGCTCAGGCGGTGACAACACGGGTGGGTTCTGTAAGTATTGCTTGGTCTGTTCAAAAGCAGCATGGTATCGGCCGTCCCATTGGAATTTCTTTCCTTTCTTCAGGAGACCAAAGAGTGGTTCACAAGTTAAGGTTAATTTTGAAATAAACCGTCTTATGAGTTGCATTTTACCCAGAAAGCCTCGCACCTCCTTTTCAGTCCTTAGTGGTGGCATTTCTAAGATGGCCTTGATTTTGGAAGGGTCGACTTCGATACCTCTCTGTGTAATCAAGAACCCCAGCATTTTCCCTGCTGTAACACCAAACGTACACTTCTAAGGATTCAGCCGCAACCGAAATTCCGTGATCCGTTGAAAGAACTTTTCCAAGGCAGTGTAGTGGCCCTCTCTTTCCTTGGACTTGACAATCATGTCGTCCACGTACACATCAACCTCTTTGCGGATCATGTCGTGCAATATTGTGGTCGCAGCCCGTTGATATGTAGCTCCAGTATTCTTCAGCCCAAATGGCATCACCCTATAACAATAGGTTCCCCACGGGGTGGTAAAAGCAGTCTTCTCCCGGTCTTCGGGTGCCATTACAATCTGGTTGTAGCTTGCATAGCCATCCATAAATGAGAGCAATGCATGCCCCGCTGTGAAGTCCACTAACTCATCGATATGCGGTAGAGGAAAGTCGTCCTTCAGACTGGCTTTGTTCAAATCTCTGAAATCCACACATACCCGGATTCCGCCATCCTTCTTCGGCACTGGAGCGATGTTGGCCAACCAAGTTAGATATTCAAATACCAGCAAGAACCCTGCGTCAATTTGCTTGGTGACCTCTTCTTTGATCTTGATAGCCCAGTCTGGGCAGATCCTTCTGAGTTTTTGCTTAACAGGTCGGGCCTCTGGGTCAAGAGGGATTCGGTGCTGTACAATCTTAGGATCGATTCCAGGCATGTCTTCGTAGGACCACGCGAAAACATCTTTGAAATCTTTTAATAAAGCGACTAAGCGCTTGCGCTCCTCCGAAGACAACGTGGACCCAATCTGGACCAACTGCGGGTCCTTCTTAGTACCAACATTAATTTGGGTGATTTCGTCAACCAGCAGTTTTACAAACCTCTCCTGCTCTTGCTCTAGCAAATATTTCAAAACCGGAGGAATTTCTTCCTCGTCGTTTTCATCAAAGTTTTGAAAGTCTGAATTAATGCAATAAATCAAGGGTTCAGAAAAGTAATCGAAGGCCACAGCCGCATCATTCTCATTAAGTACTTCATCCAGTCCATCCAATTCTTCTATTACAACAGACTCAAAAGAGAAAGAAAAAGACGACCTAGATAGGACTGTG